GAATCAGAGGACACCGTCTGTCCTCAGACAACCCTGGGAGTGTACAGCACGTTACAATGTGGTCCGACACAAGCACTAAAAAAAATACACCAGAATGTCTTCACATCCCTGTGTTTTCTTGAGTCTCCCAGCCTCCTTGTCACCATCTTAAGTGGACAAAAGTCTGTTGTAGTTTCGGGTTTGTTTTTGTTTTTTAAAGTGTAGCAAAAACACCAAAGTGAAGAATGCTTCTCCTGGACCAGGACTCTGAGGAAAGCTCAGTTCTTCTACTGTTTGACATGAAAGTAAGCTGCTCAGCGTGGAGTGCAACAGCCAGCTGTGTTCCTAACCCTCCTTTAGGTATTATTCCTAAAATGAGGATATGGGAGGAGATGTTTATGAAGGTGGGATGGTTTCAGCTGTTTTGAAAGCTTGCTCCAAGGTTGGCTTTGGTTGACGACATTCATGTCTAGAATCAAATCTAACAAATAAATAAAATAGCTGCCCTGTATAAAAGGCTTGGTCAGCCATTCATTAAAATATGATAGAGATACATATATTCTCAGATACACCCACATAAACAAAGAAAAAAAAAATCTGTTTCAGTAAGACTATTCATATTATCCAATCTGGCCACCTGAATACAGCAAGCTAAGAAAATTAATTCAGGTAAGTACAAAAGCTGTGGCTGGTTCATTTTAACACATTACAGCAGAACTTACTCTAGCCTGACACTGAAACAGATGAAACCAAAATCTACTCTGCAAGAGGCTGTGTAAAGAGCAGGATTTTCAGCCAGAAGATGGTGGCTGAAAATTTTATATTGTCATAACAAATGACACTGTTCAAACAAACGTTAGGAGACAGAACTTCAGCTAGCAAAAAAAGCATAAAAAAAAAACCAAAACAAAACCCAGCTCGACTCCACTGACTTCAGGGGAGCCATCCCAAATACCATCAGCTGGTAATCAGGCAGTGTCATAAAAAAGTTTAGTTTGCAGGTTACCATTGGTGTATCTGGTACTTTTAGTTAAGATATACATCTTCTTACAGACCGTAACAAAAGAAACAACCAAAACAGAATTTTAACAAAGGGCAACGCTGCAGGTAAGTGTCAAAGAACGAATGCGTCTCTGTTCTACCAGCTCCGTAAAAGAAGGGGGGAAAAACGTTGGACGTAGCAGAAGTGCACTCCTTGATGCACTGTGCTGCCGAAAGGGATGAACTACCAGAGGTACAAGTCGGTAGAACGGTATAATTGCTTCCTTTATAACTTTGCTCTCGTCTGATTATGTACATACATTTTAAAGGTCCTCCATCTTTCAAAAGGGCATGGGAGGAGGGGGGCCAGCCCTGTATAGTTGCTGGTAAGAAATCCTAATCTCAACGTCGGTGGAAGCTGGAGGTGTCTATACATTTGAGCACTTCCTGTTTTCACTTCGTGATCAAATATGTTCTTTGCAGGGCAAATAGGGGAGCACTTGAGGGAGGAAAGCAGAGATGTCTGAGAGGCTAATTGAGTGTGCTGAGGACTCCTTGGCATAGAGGAAAAGGAGTCTTCCAAAGCTATGAATAAACTCTCGGCTTGGGTCAGATTTCTTGCTGTTTCTTTTCTTTAACCACCTTTGAACTCAAATAAAAACAGTCTTAATGTCAGGTTTACCTTTCTGATGTCGTAATCTTTATGTACTATTGAAAAGCTTATACTACCAGACTAGGATTTCCTCTACTTTCTTAAACACTGGATATTATCCAGAAAAAGCATACACATTTCCAACCAATTCATCCTCAGATCTTTCATCTTCCGGTACTGTTGTAATTCCAAATGTAAGACAGAGCTCAGTAAGGGCACAAGAACATGACAGAAGCTCCTACTCCTTGCATTTGATTCCCCACAATAAAAACATGCATGTGTATCCTATTTCAAATATAATTAAAGTTGCTGCAAAATGGAAGCTGTGATAGGGGATAGAAATTGTTTTGAAAGACACAGCCTGTCAGATGCATTCATTCTACATCAGAGTTCAAGTGTCTGTCTCTTCAAAAAAAGCCACTTAGGCAATTCAATTTTTAAAATTGGCTACCTTAGGTGTTTGCAAACTGATTGAATAATGGGAAAAACTAACATTTTATTTAAAATCGTAAGTAAATACAGTTAGTCATAACTAAGTTACTCTCTCTGAATTTGACAGTCTAAAGGAATTTCGCGTTTAATCCACACCACAAGAGATGGACTGCCACTGCCTCTCCTTCCAGGGAAACCAGAGGTTAATGATTTTTGTCATATTGAGACTAACAGCTAACAATTGCTACAGTTGGCCTTTAGTATTTTATTTGTCCTTTTGAGGTATTCAGAATAGGTGACAATGGCTTGCAGTTGAGAACATATGTAGAGAGACCCCTGTGGCTTATGGAAAAGTTGCTCCATGCTGGTTGGGTGTTTAAAAAAAAAATACAACCAGAGCTCTTTTATGTTCCTCCCCTTAATGAATGCATGAATGTCAAAATGTACCAATGGCCCATTCAGGGGGCAAAGCCTAAGCAGCTCCTTCTTTAAGAACACATCCTGAGATGTAAAATACATTTGCTTAACAAATTAAAATAATGAGATAATTCAATTAGTTTCTTTAAAAAAAAAAAGAGAGAAAGAAAAAAGGGTACATCAGGGGATTATTGTAATACAAGAACAGGTCATACAGCACAAAGGAGGAACAAACCAATTTGAAATAAGGTTAGAGTAGTAATGAAGGAATGTACATTGAATCATGGACCGCCATTGTAAAGATATTTACTTGAAACAATAAAATTGTACATAACAGATTCCCCTGTTCTGGCTCAGCCAGCGCTGTACTTCAAATGGACAGGCTAATTTGAGAAAAAGTGTGAGATCTTTAAAAGAAAGGAGTTCTCTTCCTTCCCTGCATGTGTTTACAGCGAGAATCTTTCTGAATTTACATTGCGCTGGTCGGGGGGCTCCATTATCAGTTTTCAGGTCTGAGAATTACAGCACAGTAAATCTTTCAACACCTGCAAACTCATTAAAGCTTGGACGGTAAAAGGTTTGGGGCTTTTTTGTGTTCATTTAATTTGATTTTTGCAAGGCCATCCTCACCAGTGATGGCAAATTTCCTCCATTCAGGCAGGATGGAGAGGGTCAGGAGAGAGAGGATGGAAACAAGGAAAAGGGATTTCAAAAAGCCAGGAGGACTTTCCTCAAGAGAAATGAGAGGCAGTTGACTGTTTAATAAGCATGTGTCGAACGCGTTCACGGAGCACGTGAGAAAGGAAGGCAGGGAGCTAAAAACACGATATCACAAATTTCATAAGAGCAAGTGGGGTTTAACATGGAGACGTGTATGAAGCAAACTGGTTTATTTGTGGCCCTGCTTTTTGCTGTCTGCCTGTACGAGTCCTCTAAAGATACCCTACAGCTAAATGAAAAACCCTCCACTCACACTCACTCGACTTCCAAATTAAAAACATTTTACAGGTTAGTAAATCTCCAGCTGAGGTGATGTAGCAAAGAACAGCTGTGAAGTAATTTTGATAATGATGAGAATAATAAGCACATGGCAAGGTTCAGGGCTTTGCTGTTGCAGCTTCAGTGCTCCTGAATAGATAAAAGTGATTAAATACTCCTGATTATCCCTGACCAATATGTAATGGATTTACAGCCCTTTCAATTAGTCAGTATTTGCTTAGGACTCATTATTTTGTCTTTGGTTAAGTAATCAGCCCAGAGACTCATGTTCTGTCTAATTCCTCTGAGCCAAGTGGGTACGGGGCACCTGACCTTTGAAATGGCCATAGCTGGGAGGCAGGAATAACCACTACTCCAGCAGAGACACTGGCTATTCCAGCTAATCCTGACCCCACAGGCCAGATCAATGCACCTTAGTTTGCTACTAATGTCCTTACATCAAAATGATGGTTTAGAAATGTGGATCTATCGCTCCCCCCTTTAGCTGTGCTGCTAGCAGAGCAGTTCGATAGTCCCCATCATAAATAAATCGGGTACCTTGTCCTGAAATCATTACACCGTAACCAACATCAGCTACCGTGGAAATTTAGAAAACTTTGGTAGAAGAAGAGGTAGTTAATAACAGTTAGCATTTTAAGCCTTATCAAGTGAGAAACAATTTTACAGTGAGAGGAAGAGGAAAATCAATTGATAATTTTACCAGTTTCCATTATTTCCCACATGAAGTAAACTACGAAGAGTGTTACTAGCTTTTCCGTGGAACCGTGTTTTGATGCCTAAGTGAAGCTATAACAGCCAACAGAACACCAACACATAAAACCAACTGCAAGCAAGAGGATAAAGATAGCCCATGGAAAGCATTGCATTTTCACATATTTAATCTCTCTCCCCCAAATGTGAATGTGGCTAGCTTTTAACGTAATGGACTTGAGGAGAAGCTAAACAGGTGCTTATTCTCTCTGTTACACAACTGAAGAATTTAGGGAACCTGTAAGCTTTCTATATTTCTCACTAAAAGTAACAATGACAAGTTTGCAAGCTGCTGCTTTGACTGCTCTAACATCCACAGTGTATGTCAGCACACACAGACTGGGTCTCTCTCTTCCACCACATACATATGAAGTTTGTGTAAACAGAGGCCAGCAATAAAGAATCCAGAAGGCAGAGCTTTATATATGCTAAAGCAAGAAACCCCCATTTTTGTCCTTGGGAACATTTTAAATAGTTCAAAGCAGAAAAGGATTACTTTATATGTAGGTGTTTTTCCATGCTAAAGCTTTGTACTATCTCTCTCTCTCTCTCTACAGGCATGTGTGTGTATATATATATACACACACACGTATATATATAGGTTTCTTTCAGATTTGTCATGATTCCAAGAGCCAAGAAAAAAATCTAGAAGAAGAAAAAAAAAAAAGCAACAATAATTGAGCCCTAATAATGGTCCAAAAATTATGGGGACAATTGATTTCTAATAACAATGAATAAACCTCATTAGGCACATGAATAGAAATCTATTTTGGTTTTGGGCACCACTTACTGTGAGATGCTGGAAAAGCCACGCTCTCATGATATTTGTTGCTACTTTGGGGAAAATGCCTCTTTTCTTCTGACGCTTTTTGTCCTTGTCTGGGTCATCGTCATCCCCTGTACCAGGTGAGGCTACACTGTTGTCTAAACCATCTCCTACAACAAAGAGGAAAACAGGAAGGAGGAGACATTTAATGAACAAAATACAGAAGCCAAAAAGTATCATTAATTACCAAGACACTACCACAGTTTTATTTTGATTTGCTAGGTCAGGCACATACAGCTTCTCATTATATATGAGTGCTGATACAAATATGTAAAAATTAGAAACCATGTCTCTCCAAATACTAATTTTGTGTTTCACACATGCATATATCATTAATTCAATTATAACTGTGTGCTTGACATAGTGCAATAGCTCTTTGTCAATTATGGGATTCAATGCGGGAAAACCTGCCACAAGAAAACCCATTCACTGTAAATGCAACCCTACAACCATTCTGAATACGTACTATAAGTAATCAAGTTAAATGTTCTGTAGTCTATATATTCCAGGCCCTCTGCAGAGGTGGCAGTAACCATGTCACCGTTCAGTGCACATAACACACTGTCAGATGAGCCCCTCCCCGTACCCGTCACCTCCCAACACACATACATATGCACGCACAAACACGTACAGCTAGTATGACCCTGCCTGTAGCATTTGCATGACATGAAAACTTCCACATCTCTGCTTCAGTGATTATTATCATTTAAAAAAGAGATGCACATCAAGGTAGAGCTCGCACTTAATCAGAACTTTCCATCAACATCTTTCTCTTCTGTGCTTTTCCCTGGCATTAATTGTGCATTAGCAAAAATAATTTACTTTTAACAGTCATAGTTATTTTTTCTTGCCCTCCAGCAAAAATGCCTTGAAAGCCTGCCTGGAGGGCATCTAAATTATGTATCTGAAAAACTCTTCTGGCAAGGCATTGCAGGACCCCTACTTTCTTAAAATTCATACGAGCACGTCTTCCTGTTTTTGGGAAGGCATCAATCAAGAGCAGCAATATATGCCATATTCCTACATTAATATTTGAACTAATAACTTTAAAAAAAGGAAAGAAACAAGATCCGACTTGTGGCATAATCAAATGCAAAATAAATGAAGAATACTGGGACAGCACTGAGACTTTATAGATTGCTGTGTTTTCCTTACACATCATTAGCCCGGAGCCACACGAAAGAGGAAAACAGAGAAGTGGAGAGTTTATGCTCCCTGCTGGTGTTTAAGAAGCCGAGGTCCTGGAAGGACATCTGGGAATTGTGCTGAGACGGTGGTTTTTGTAATTTAAGAATAGACATTCATTAGCAGTAAATGCCATAAATCCCATGCTAAGTAAAAACCTTGTCCAAGAAAGCCTAAAACAATAAACTCTGTGCTCAATGTAGCCTGAGCTAGACGCTCCATAGCTTCCTGAGGAATGCTATAGATTCACGAGCTAATTCCTATAGCCTTGTCTAGCTCTGTAGTGCTACTAAACGAAATATGTTGCTGCTACATATAGCCCGTTTGCTTCAAAACTTGCATTTCAGCTCCATCTTCCCTCCCGTGCCAGATCACCCTTCTTCCACTGCCTCCCCTGTGAAAAACCAACCCTTTTGGACCGGAGAGACGGAAAAAGCCACAGCAAAGAGCTGGCAGATTAATTTTATTGACATTTCCATTTTCACTGCAATGTGATACCCTCCATCACATGGAAGAGATGACCCTCACTATTTACAGACTGACAGGCCACTTCATTACAACCACCCTGCCCCAAGGCAGAGCAGCTCCTTTCCATCTGCCCAAACACCAGAGCAAGACCCTGAAGTCTCTGCTCTCTTTCTCATGCTCCTTTTCTTTTCGCTTTTTTTGTTTGTTTGTTTGTTTGTTTGTGTTAAGGACAGAGAAAGGGGAATTGAATCACAGCAAACCAATCGAAGAGATTGTGGAAGCCCTAAATGCTGTGACCAACTGTTCGCTTTTGCAAGATATTGGTTATTTAGAAAGCGCTCCTTTCTGTTGCTCTCTCCCCCCCATATATTCCACCCTACCTCTCTGTCACACACACACACACGTGCACACACACACACACACACACTTTCCACGATACCAAGGAACTGCTGCAAGGCAAATTCTCACAAACACTAATGGCTTCTGACTGCTCCTTGGCAACCCCAGCATTTTAACCTGGGTGGATATGCTCTCCAAAATACAGACACTGGAGCTATCTCATCAGCTGTTCATGTGACACAGATGGAGAGTGGCTATTAGGAGCCAGGCAATGGGCCTTGGGGATCTGAGGTGCTGTACTGTAGCCTCGGGCAGTTTTGAAAAGCAGTACCCAGAGATGGGGGGGGCGGAAAAATCCCTACTGAAAGTGCAAGTTTGAAGTCAGTCAGTCTGTTTGTCTATCTGTCGTGCAGATAAAGATATCTTTGTCTCTTTATGTAAAAGCTATGTGTGCATGCACGGGGTGCGCGGAGCTATAAAACGCCCGCTCTGCGCCGTCCTCCCGCGCTGCAGGAGCGCCGCTTCACCCTCTGGATGGACAAATTCCTGTTTGTCTGCATATACACGCGCTCCTGTTTGTGAGCGTCCTCAGCAGGAGTCACCTACATGCTAAATCAGCGTTTAGACCTTTTGGAGAGGTTGTCAATGTCCTGGGTTTAAGAAGCTCGTAGCAGCCCGGCAGAGGAAAGTTCGGCTGAAGCTCCCATTGCCTTTCGACCTTAATCAGCGGTCGGAGCGGTTAGAGTCAGCGCTTCCCTAATCTGTTCCATAACCTCATGAAAGGCAATTCAAATATTGTACCTCCAAATGACCTCAGAAGATGAATACAGCAAGATTTGTTGCTCCTGGTGAACTACAGGCCCAATCCTTTTAACCTGTATTGTCATATCTTTAACAGGACTACAGCTGCTCGCATTAGCCTGTAACTGACTTTTCCAAGATGGAATGATTTACTCCTTGGATATGGAAGGACTGATTCTAGTTTGCTGTACCCAAATAAACATGAGTTACTTTAAATGAAGAAAAAGAAATTATCAAAAGTGATACAAAACAAACAGACATGCAAGTCACGCTATGGCAGACTGGGTTAACGATATTATTTTATCTGCTCTGCGAAAGAATCCAGACTTAAATCATTACAAGTGATTCTGCTTATGTGAACTGTTCATATCCTGATTTGGATGGTAATTTGTAAGAAGAATAGAGTCAAGCCCTAACTTGTATGGCAATTGCAATTATATAAGCATAGTTATCCGAATTTTCTAGTGGGGAAATTAAGTCTAGATTTTGGCCCACTGACTCTCCCTTTCACACAGCAGCAGAAACAAAATAAAAATGAAGGGCGACTTTCTCCTGCTTTGCACGTTGTTTACTCATTTATTCTTGTGCAAAGAGTACAAGTGATTGCAAAACCCTATCGCTGTTCTAGGAAAGTGGAGAATTCTTAAGTGGCACTCTTTGTGGAGGTGTCAATGACTACGCAGGATTCAAGCCAGTAGAGAATTAGGTATATTACCCAGCTTGTTTGAGATTATATCAATGCTATGTAATAGTCTCAATAACCCCTATAAAAGATGGAGAGAGTTTACAAGAAACTTTGCAAAGTGACCCACACAGGGTTCCTTAGAGACCTTCTCTTCTAGGGAAAGGGTTTGTGGAAGAGGCTGAAGATGCAAGTCGTCTTTACACAGCGGGAAGTTAGGCTTCCACACTAGCTCTGTGTGCAGACACCCTTAGCAGAGGGTTTCTGCCCACAAAATAAATTATTTTGCATTGAAAGCAAAGGAGATTACTTCGTATTTAAAAAATAACGAATAAGTAGTTAGAGCAGGGTTTCCATTGCACCATAATTTCAAACTTAACTTGCTGCAAACTGATTTCCTTGGACAGACTAGCTTGCTGACCCCAATGTTCATACAGCTAAGGACTCTTCAGGAAACGGGGTCCAGTCCTACAGAAGGCCTGTCCAACCTGATTGTATCAATGAATTCCTCTCTGACAGCCCTCCCACTATCAGTATTGCCTTCACCCTAGTCCTTGTTTGTGTTCCTCACAGAGTAAAGACCCAGCAAGAGACGAAGCAAGTGATGTTTAAAAGCTGCTCATCTAGTCTTTTCATCATTTGTGAACAGGGTGAATAACAGATTCCCAATCTACGAAAAATGATAACTGAAACGGATAACCCAGTCAGGCCAAAGCACAGAAGCCTGGTAACAGCCCAGATTCAAACTGTATAGTTTCTATTACCATCATAACAAGCAGAGCAGGAAGAAAAGTGATTTCTAGAAAAATACATTTCAGAACCCAGTGTTTGAGTTTATTCACCATCAGAGATCCCTTACAGCTTTATGGTTTGTCATGCTAAAGGAAAAGAGAGAAGAGCAGGGCTACCTAGGGCAGGGGGAAGAAAGACAGTTCACCATTTTTGGAATAGGGCAAGCAATATGAAAACCAAGCTAAAGGATTCTGAAAAGGAAAGCTGCAGTGCACCGTGCTGATCTTAAGGAAACTACTCTACAATTATTCAGTCCAGTATTTTAAGGGAATAGAATATGTAGAAATAAATGCAAAGCAAAGAGGAGAATCTGCATACAGCTTATATTCACAATTTGGAATTATTTGTTTGTACTTATAATGCGTCCATCTGGACACATCAAGTATTGTAAACCATTATTACTCAGGATGTTCAACTTAGTAATATGATCCACATCACCACCAGAGAAAAATCTTTAAAATCTAGTTAATTACCACCGTCAAAAAGCTGGAAAGAGAAGTGTTTGAATACGTTTTGAAGATAAGACTGTCTGTGCTGTAGGGAGGACTAATAGAGAGGGAAGGTCAGCTCCAGAATCAAAGACCCTTCAGGAGAACTCCTTATCTCCGTTCCACCCTGTTAAAATCATCAGGCTTTTAGCCTTACAGCTTCAGCAGATCACAGCTCTTTGAATGAAGTGCTGGCTGTGGGGGTTTTTTTTCTCCTCCTCTTAATGATCACTGTTCATGGAAGTTGACTTAGTCTCCTCACACCACAGAAGCATTACTTATCTACTGCATCTTACTGCCTCGGGAACCTGAGTTAGGATAGGTTATGGGTGGCAAACCTGGGACTTTGAAAACCGCAATCAGTTCAAGTGGGCACCCCAGCTTAGAGCTGTGCCATTGTCAGCAGTGCTCTGCCAGCACGTGTGCTGGTTTTGCTGACTGTGGGAGCAGAGGAGCCATCAGAAGTTGTTTAGACCGGACACAGGCATCCTGAGTTGACCTGCATGCTCAGCCGCTACTTGGCCCATCTGGAGTGGGGTGTCCTCAAGTGAGCTGCTGTAATCAGCCCCTTGCCTTCCTTCCCCTTTTGTGTCTCTGCGACACCAGATATACATCCCATGGTGCTACATCATATGTTTCAGTGAGCATCTTGGAGAGAAAGAAAGGCTGGACACTGACGCACTAGAAGGAACAGGAAGACTTCAGACGTATAACACTACCATCTCTCTTACTACGGAAGATGTTATTCTTTTGCCCTTCTAGCGGTAGGGAGGAGATGAAG